CCCTCCGCCCGCCCCCACCCGCTCATCCTTTGGCCTGCTGCTCCTTCTGCCTGGCCCCCAGCCGGGCCCGTGCGGCAATCTACCCCGCATTTTCACGGAACACACTTTTGTGTAAGGTATATGTTGTGCACTGAGAAGAGAGACCCCCACATCGTCCGGCCCATTTTCCTCTTAATCATCGGCGGAGCGTCCCACGCATCCTCTCTCTCTCACCCTCTCTCTCCCTCCCCCCTCTGCCCACCTTTTTCTTCCACCGCCACCGGACAAGCTCCGCCCCTCCCGGCGAGCTTCACACATCTGCTGCATACACCTCTCCCCTGCCCGCTGTTGTGGACTCCCACACTTAAACGCACCCTCGCACGCAAATTACGCCCTGTGCGCGTAGCTCTTCCCGCGTCCCCCCGCTCCCCCGCGCGCCCCCTGCTGTGTCGGTACGTGCACCAGCCACCGATCCGGCCCCTCCCGGCCTCCCCTCTCCCTGTCCGTTCTGCGCCTGCCCTCGCGCCTTCCCTCCCCTCCTCCCCTTCTCCGCACCCTGGCCGCACGCTGTCCGCGACTCCTCTGAGTCATAGGCCACTGTACACACTCCCAGCAGCCGTTGGTTGCGGCCCATTGGGCCCCCCTCGCCTCTTTCACTCTCCCTCGCCTGCTTGCCTCCTCCTCTCCCCTGCCCTCCGCCCCGCCTCGACCTGCTCGCCTAGCCCGGCAGCATGGCATCCTCCGCCGCCGCACCGAGGCCCCCGCGCCCCTCCACCCCCCTGGCGCTCATTTTCCCCCATTAATATGCCCCAAGCTGAATGGTTAATTTTGTCATGCTCCGAAAATCATTAACCCCGCCTGCTTGCCGTTTGCGATCGCTTTTTCCCGGTGGTCATTTGATTGTTGTGGGCTTTGTGTCATTTCGTCCCCCCTCCCCTCCCCCCCTGCCACAGAGAGAGGTGAGCGGATTCCTTAATTGCTGTTGCCTGAAGTGCGTTCCACCTACCACCCCGGCCCCCCTCCTCCTCCCTCGATCGTTGCCTCTTTTCTTCATCAAGCCGGAGCCGGTGCACATGCATAAGCATTTCTCCATGCGCATGCATGTTTTCATACACCCCCTTACAAGCACATGCACATCTGTGTGTGTGTGTGTGTGTGTGTGTGTGTGTGTGTGTGTGTGTGTGTGTGTGTGTGTGTGTGTGTGTGTGTGTGTGTGTGTGTGTGTGTGTACCGCTCCCGTGTCGCGCGTCACATGCACCCCTCCGGGTCAAGCCGCCAAGAGGGCCTCTTCACAGGGGGCAGGACATTTTCCTGTGTGGTGTGCCTCGCGCCAAAGGGGCGAGGGCAAGCGTCCGTGTGTTGTGGGGAAACAAAAAAAGACACCCAACCCCGGCCCCTAAGCCACCCGCAATCCTCGCCCCATGCCCGTTCATGGCTGTGTCATGGTGTGCCCAGCTTCTAACATTCCCCTCTCCGCGCATTTGCCTGCCTGCCTGCCTGCTCGGTGCCCAAAAAAAAACAAAACAAAACAAACACCTACTCCCCCCCCCCCACGGCCCTCCCCGGCCGTGGCGCTCCTCCCGTCACATCTCCACCCACAGCCCGCCTCTCATTCCGGCGGCCTGGACCGGTGTTTCTGCCCCCCCCTGCCCCCAGACCGCCGGCATTTGGCCTGTCCCCATTCTCCCCCCCCCTCCCCGTGGCCTTCTCACTCCGACGCGGAACTCTCGAGTCCGTGCGTGAATCGCCACTTGTGGTCGGGCCCGGGCCGATCCCCACCACCACCCCCCTTCCTGCCACACAATGGGACGTCTCCCCCCTAGGACGCTCCCAGGCAGTCTGCCCGGGGCCGGCACCATGATGAGTGCCGACCCTCGGGCGGACGCCCACGAGGGGAGCCACCTGGCGGTAGCAGAGGCTCCGGCACCCCGGTCGATGGACCGGCGCCGGCGCCGGACGCCCGCCCCCGGTGCCTCTTCCCCCGTCTCGGTGCTGTCCAGCCTCCCCCTGAAGCTGGCCATCCTCGCCCTTGTGACGCTGCTGAGCGTTATTTTCGTGACCCCCAGCGGCAGCGGCCTTGTGGCCGCCGCCCGCCATGGTGCCGGTGCCACCCATGCCACCAGTGACATCCAGTTCGACATTGCCCCATCGGCCAAGCAGCAGCCCGCCATCCTGCCGGAGGAGGAGGACGGGCCGGCGGCCGGCCTGCCGTCCATCGACCTGTCCGCCCCGAGCATCGCCGGGGTTCGGTTCGCCCGGCCGACCTTCTCCGCCCAGGAGGATGCCGGCCATATCATGATCACCTTCCTGCGCCAGGCTGTCGATGCCCAGCCTCTTGACAGCCAAGTCGTGTATCTGTCCATTGCCGAGGATACCGCCGTCGAGAGCTTCGACTATGAGTCGCCCTCGGATCTGGTGCGTTCGTGTGGTGCCGAGCGCATGCCCCGGCCTCTGGGGCTCTTTCCGCCCCCCCCCCCCCCAGCAGGCCCCTCTTGTGCGAGGGTGCTGCCGGGACATGCTTGCTTCCTGCGCGCCTCGCCCTTTTGCCGCCCTTGGGCGGGGCTTTTTTGTCCCTGTCCGCCTCTTCGGCCCGGTCCCGCCCCTCGCGCGCGCGCCCCCTCCTGGTGGCCCTGCCTCGTGCACCAAATGCCCAAGGAGGCGGGCCGCCACGGGACGAGACACCGGCGACAGCACCGAGCGCGCGCGCGCGGAGGCCCCTCCGGACCACCCCCCCCCGTACAACACCCCCGTGACTGACCAGCCACATTCCCCCCCCCCTCCCCCACACACACATAGGCCGTTCGCTTTGGCAAGGGCGAAGTGGTGGCCATGAAGCGCATTCGCCTCTTCGACAACTATTGGCCCGATGGCACGCGCCGGGCCATCCTCCGTCTGTCCTCCAGCGAGGCGGGCCATGCCCTCGGGGATGCCGACGTGTCGGCCATCCTGGAGATCACGGACGACGAGCCGGCCGAGGCGGTGGCCCCGGCCTCAGGGATGGCCGGTGACGCGGCCGGTGGCCGGCGCCACGGGCCGCGCGACCTGGAGGCCGAGGCCGAGGAGGCCTCGCCGTACATCCGGTTCTTCGGCCGGGCCGTGGCCACGCCGACCCTGGTGACCACCGAGGAGCCGACCACCACCAGCACCACGACCACCGAAACGGCCACCTCCACGCCGACCCCGACGCCGACCGTCACCCCGACCGAGGCCCCGTGCGAGCGCGGCTGCGATGGCGAGTGCGACTCCGGTGCCGTGGTCGACCGGTGTGGTGTCTGCCGCAAGATCGATCCCAACCAGCCGTCGGACGGCCCGTCACCGGTGGAGGATTGCGCCGGGATTTGCTACGGCCAGGCCTTCATCAATGAGTGTGGCATTTGCGTGGCCGGGTCCACCCAGAAGGACCCCTCGGCCGGGAAGGACCAGTGCGGCGTGTGCGGCGGCGATGACACCAGCTGCGTCGGCTGCGATGGGGTGCCCAACTCCGGAGTGGAGAATGACGCCTGCGGCGTGTGCGGCGGCGACAACTCCACCTGCATCATCCTGCTGGAGATCGACCCCGACGTCGGGCCCAATGCCCCGGAGCAGCCGGTGCAGCTGATCGGCGGTGGGTTCACCGAGCCCGGCACCGACAAGCCGCGGGAGCTGTACTGCCGCGTGCAGGACAACAAGCAGGCCCGCATCCCGGTGCGGGTCATCAGCAACACTCGCGGTGAGTGCATCCTGGACTCCTTCACCTCCACCGGGCCCAAGGACTTCGAGCTCATTTGGGTGGAGAACCCCGGCGACCCGGGGGTGGCCGTGCCCAACAAGCTGGTGTACACGGTGCTCGAGCAACTGCCCTCGATCGTCCTGGACCAAGTGGTCAAGGTGTACATCGACCGCACCGACCAGCGGATTCTCGTCAACGGCACGAACTTCTTCGACCCGGACACCCTGCCCGGGGGGAATGGCGGCCATCTGATCTCCTGCCGGTATTCCTACGACGGGGAGGCCGGCATGGAGCGCGTGTCCTATGCCCGGTACATCAGCTCCAAGCAGATTGAATGCCCGGTGCCGGTGTCCAGCGTGTCGCAGGATGCCTGGCTCACGATCGGCTTCTCCGGCCGCCCTGGCGGGCCCTGGTCCACGGTCAAGGTGTGGGTCAAGTACTACCAGGTGGCCCCGGTGGCCGAGCTGGCCCGGTTGGATTCCACCGGGTCCCTGCTGCTGGTGTACTTCAATGTGCCGGTCACCACCCCGATGAATGGCCCAGGGCTGGACTCCGGGCCCGGGGCCGGGACCTTCAAGTGCCAGACCTTCTTCCCGGCCCGGACTGCCGAGCTCTTTGGCTCCGGGGCCAAGTGCACGGTGCGCTCCGGCTCGCGCGTGGTCGAGGTGGCCCTCGGCCAGAACCCGGCCATTCGCACCGGGGTCACCATGATCCTCTTCGAGCGGGAGACCATCTACGAATTGGCCCGCCAGTATTGCGACCCGTTGGACAATGATCTGTTGGTGGACACGGACACCCCGCCGCCGGTGCCGGTGGCCGTGATCACCGCCCCGGAAGAGGCGTCCACCTGCGGCGCGGTGCACATCCACGGCCGGGCGTCCTACGGCAACACCGGTGGCCAGGCCCTGCGCTTCCATTGGACCTTCAGCCCGCCGCTGCCGGCCGGCTCCTACACCACCAACAACGGGGCTTCGCTCGACTCGCTGACCGTCACCGACATTCACATCAAGAAGGATGTCTTCGCCAATGGGGCGGTCTTGCGCATCACCCTCAAGGTGTCCAACTATGTGGCCGAGTCCCTGGTGGCCGAGCACACCATCCGCTTTGTCAACAGCCCGGTGCCCAGCATCACCGTGCGCGGCATCAACCCCCGGCGGGTGAACATCGACGAGGAGACCGTCATCGCCATGGATGCCACCCCCTCCGAGTGCGATGCCACCGACACGGCCCTCTCCTTCGAGTGGACCCTCACCCCGGAGGACTTCCAGAATGGCCATTCCCTGTCGGAGCTGGTCCTCACCGGGCCGACATTGGTCATCCCGCCGAACTTCCTCCAGCCATACACCCAGTACACGGCCACCCTGCGGGCCACCTCCGACAAGTCCAAGGCCACCAGCAGCCACGGGGTCATCCTCAACACCCTCCCCCCGTCGCTGAATGTCCGTCTGCTGGGCGGCGACCGCCGGACCATCGGGTCGTACTCCGATCTGCACCTGTACTACACCATCGCCGATTATGCCCGGCTGGAGGGCCGCGAAGTGACCATCGAGCTGCGCTGCACCAACGAGCTGAATGGCGCCCTCTGCCCGGTGACCGATGGCTTTGGTGGCTTCACCACGCTGTCCTTTGCCCCGCAATCGGTCACCCTGGACCCGGCGCTGGAGTCCAACCGCTTTGTGCGGGTGGTGCCGGCCGGGCAGCTGGTTGTCTCGGAGAAGCTGCGCTATCGCTTTGAGCTGCGCGTCACCGACAACCTGACCGGCGAGCTGAAGACCGATGTGGCGGTGATCGTGCCGCGCGCCGGTGTGCAGCCCTTCGTCCTGCTGGACACCGAGCGCAAGATCGGCGCCCGCCATGACTGGCCGCTGGCCATCACCGTGGCTTCCAGCCGGTCGACCGCCTATGCCCAGCTCAATTACACCTGGTCCTGCGTGCATGAGACCACCGACCAGGAGCTGGCCCAGCTCCTGCGCGACATCGATCGCCACAGCGAGCTGCACCTGGAGTGGGTGGACATCAATGACCCGGCCATCCACTCGGGCCCGATCAATGGCGATACCCTGATCCTGGAGCCCTTCACCCTGCGGCCCAATGCTCGGTATGCCTTCCGCCTGGATGTGGTCGAGCCGCAAACCAACAAGCGTGCCCATTCGATTGTCATTGTCCGGACGTCGCCGGCCCCGGTGGGCGGGTCCATCAGCGTCACGCCGGCCGTCGGGGCCCGGGCCGCTTTCGACCTGGTGCAGGTGGCCATGACCGGCTGGACCACCACCACGGACCAGCTGCCCTTGTCCTACCGCGTGGAGCTCCGGTACCCGGATGGCCGGACCCTGCAGGTGCCGACCGATGGCCCGGGCTCGGCGCTGGCCTTCCTGGCCGATCCCGGCAACCGGTCGCGCTCGGTCACCGTGCGCGGCGTGGTCACCCAGCGCAATGGCGTGTCGTCGGTGGTGCAAACCGACGTCGTGGTGGACAGCTGCGTGGTCCGGACCAACAGCGAGCTCGAGGAGCTGCGCGACATCTACCGGACGCGCTCGGCGCAGATGGTCCAGCGTGGCCAATGGGAACGCCTGATGGCCTGGACCTCGGTGGTCAGCAGCTGCCTGGATGCCACGGAGAAGTTGGCTCGGTCCCAGGCGGCGGCCATTGCCAGTGCCAGTGCCGCGCGCCGGGTGGTTGAGCAGGCGGCGACGCCGGCCACCGGCGGCGGCCCGGAGGCGGCCACCACCCACATCCCGGATGAGGTGCTGGCTCGGCGTGGGCGCCGGTCGGAGGTCGGGGAGGCCCTTGCCGCGGCCGACACCGCGGCCCGGCTGGCCACCGCCGAATCGGCCGCCGGCATCGACACCACCGGCATGAACTCCGCCGAGGTGGAGGCCCTGGACTCGGCCCTGGTGCTGGCCAACTCGGCCAAGCTCCTGCTGGCGGATGTGGTGGTCACCTATGACGACAGTTTGAACTTCGCCCCGAGCTCCTTCGAGCGTGCCCAGGCGGCCATGTGCCAGATTGACACGGTGTCCCGGACTTCGCGCGGCCTGTCCCAGGACATGGTCGGGCGTCTGGTCACCCGGATGACCGAGCAAACGCGCCTGGTGGAGTCGTACTACCAGGCGCCGGTGCGCCGGGCCACGTCGGCCGCCGGCGGATCGGGCGCGGCCACCACCCCCCCGGGCGGCAGCAACAACGCCGCCCCCGGGCCCGCCACCCTGGCCCGGGTCCACCCGAATGTCATGGTTTCCGATGACTTCATGAACTGCCTGGCCCGCTCGGGCGGCCGGCTGCTGACGGTCACCAACTCCACCTCCACCTCGGAGAGCCTGCTGCAAACGACGTCGGCCATTCGCCGGGCCCAGCACATGTATGCCCGGCGCCTGGCGTGCAACCAGGAGCCGGCCACCTTCCCCTCGATCTCGGCCGATGAGGATGACCTCGGGGCCGAGGCCGTGCAGATGACCGTGGTTCGCAGCCCCCTGAAGGGCAGCGACTCGCTGATGCCGAGCTTCACCTTCCCCCAGGGCTTCGGCGTGGAGGGGGTCAATTGCTTCTGCGGCTTCCAGGCCACCCTGGATCGGGATGCCTATGCCAGCGTGCCGCTGCCGATCGGCGCCATGGCGGCCGGATCGCGCGAAACCTTCGGCGCCCGCGTGCGCCGTCACCTGCTGCTGCAGTCGCGCTCCCTTTCCTCGGCAATGGCCCCCGGCGATGGCGCCCATGATGACCACCGGGGGGCCCGGACGGCGTCGGTGGCTGCCGATGCGGCCGGCCTCATGGCCGGGCTGGTGGATCTCGGAGCGCACTCGCTGCGCTCGGCCACCCACCAGGCCCTGGGCTACTTCGAGGAGGCGGCGCACCAGGTTCGCCGGCTGCGGTCCCTGCGCTCGGCCACGCCCGACACCGAGGGGGCCGTCGCCGCGGCCGACACGGCGGCGTCCACCACCGCCGCGTCGTCGACGATGGCCAGCTCGGCCGCGGCCGTGGGCGGTGGCGGCGGCTCCGACGCCGGGTCCTATCACCTGGCCACGGCCATCCACTCGGCCGAGCTGTATGACTGCTCGACCCCGTCGGCCATCGGCGAGCCGGACACCTTCGGCCAGACGCCGATCACCTCCTTCGGCGGGCAGGTGGTGCAGGTGGGCTTCGAGTTCGACCCGGCCGACCCGGTGGACATCGGGTCCGTCGTGTGCGCCTACCTCAACCACACCACCTACAAGTGGGACTCCAGCCAGGTGTTTGTGCTGGAGGCCACCCCGGTGTCGGTCACCTGCGGGGCCCAGCACTTCACCGAGTTCGCGGTCCTCCAGCGGGCCACCGCGTCCGAGGTCTTCACCCCGGACCTCGGGGACCTGTTCCCGGCCTGGGCCATTGCCCTGATTGTGGTCAGCGCCCTGGTGGTGCTGTCGGCCCTGGTCATCGGCATGTATGTGGTCCACCGCCGGCGCCAGCTGGCTGCCGTGCCGCCGACTCCCTCCGAGCCGGGCAGCCGCGTGGTCGACTACAGCACCATGGCCGATGGCCAGGGACAGGGTCTGGGCGCGCCGCCGGCCTTCAAGCCGGATGGCAGTGCCTACCCGCCGGGCTCGACCGCCGGGCCATCGACCGCCGGCACGCCGCTCTCGCCCGACCACATGGTCCGCCGGCCGCCGGCATACGTCCTGCCGCCGTCGTACGCGGACTTCGTGGCCGTCGGCTACCAGGGCCCGGGATCCGGAGGCTCGTCCTTCGGGCCGAGCCCCACCTCGGCGGCCGCCGGTGTCGGCGCGCCCGGGGTCAACGGCACCCCGCTCTACCCGAACCTGAATGCTCGCTATCAGGGAGGCGCCGAGTACAGCTCCAACAGCTTCGAGGACTTTGTCTCGGACGAGGACGCCTACGACGACGAGAACTACGAGGATTACGAAGACGAGCGCGACTACCACGACGACGACGACATCTACGACGACGACGACGACTTCGAGTCGGACGGCGGGATGTCCGAGTGAGCGTGCGCGCGCGCGTGCGTGATAATCGAGTCACGACGAAGACGACGACGAAGACGACGACCAAGACGAATGAGCATGTATGTGTGTGTGTGTGTGTGTGTGTTTATAAGTGTGTGTATGTGTGTGCGTGTGCGTGTGCGTCTGCTCGTGAGGGTGTGTGCGAGGGGCACCAGGAGACACAGCGTGTGTGTGTGTGTGTGTGAGTCTAAAGAAGAGGGACACGGAGAGAGGCGCAGGCGAGTGCTCTTGCGTGTGTGCACTTGCTTTGCGCGCCTCTCGCGCGCTCTTCGGCCTCGCTCCTCCGTCTTCCCGCCCGGGATCGCGTCATGCTTCCATTCTCTTGGCCACCCCCGCGCCTCTCCCTGCCCTGGGAGGCGGTGTGGGGGGGTGAGGCCAGGGAGCGAGGCGTGGCGACAGAGAAGCGCGCACGTGAAGGCAAGTCTGTGCCTCCGCATGGGCCCCCGCATGTGTCGTCTCTCCTTCGCGCGAGCGCTTGTGGAGGTGAAAGCACGAGTGTGCGAGGCATGTGTGTGTATGTGTGTGTGTGTGCGTGTGTGCGAGCGTGTGTGTGCGCGTGTGCTCGTGATGAGGAAAGTGGTTGCGTGTCTTACTCGCCTCTCTCTCTCTCTCTCGTTCGCTCGCTCGCTCGCTCGCGCGTGTGCGCGCGTACGCGCACTCACGCACACACGCACGCCTAAACACACACAGGTGTGACTAAGAGCGACGGATGAGCCGCCAAGAGAGAGCGGTCCGGCAAAAAAAGGAGGGCCGATGCGTGTCGTCCTCACGTCGTCGTTCACCACACGGCGCGAGGAAAGAGAGGGACCGTGAGAGGATGATTCACCTGGAAAAAGAGAACGTCCTTGGCCACATTGGCGTGTCCTCCCCCCTTCCCCCTCCCCCCTCCCCCCGACGGCGCCCCGCCGTGTGTGCAAGGGCGTGCGGAAGCATCCAGCTCTGTCACGCTGTGTGTGGGCGCCAAAGGGGCGCGATGGAGGAGGGACGACCGGGGCAGCACACAGGGACGAGAGCAAGCACGCGGCGCAGCGCGAAGCAGAGCAACGGCGCGCGGCAGAGAGAGGCGTTGGCGGCGTTGTGTGCGAGCGCAAGCATGTGTCATCAGCACATTGTACCATAGTCTGCTCGCATCGCCCCGCGCCATCACGCAGGGTGTTCGCACCTTCTTCCGCACCCCGTCGTCTCTCCCCCCTGTGTTTGTCCCTCCCCGGGCCTGCCTGTCCCTGTCACCGCGTCCCCCGCTCTCCTGCCCATGCTCCCGGGTGCTTCCTCCGCTCCTGGCTGCGATGCCGCCCGCTCCCGCACCTCCCTTCTTCACACGACGTGTCCCCTTCTACGCCATATCCAGTCGCACACATCCATGCACGTTTGCTTCGC